TTTTTTTTTGAAATTTTCAAATTTTGACCCGGCCGGGTTATGAAAACCATTTAATTAATTTTGCATGGCCTAATAGAAAATCCACTTGATTTTTTGAACGGATCCAAGCACTACATCCATTCATTTCATTTTTAAAGAAAGAGTAAATAATTTTATTTTAATATTATTTTATTTTCTTGTTTTATAATATATGCTTATAATAACGAAAATGATATACAATTTGTAATTATGTAGTGTAACATTTTTTTACAAGAAAATAAAGTCTGGCGTAAATATAAATAGGAATCTGCATAATCATGATAAGGGAATTTTGATATAAAAAGTATGTACGTACGTACTACCGTGGTTTCTCTCAATTAAAATTATAAAATACAAAAAAAAAAAAATGTCTATTTATAGATCAGATCATGAAAATGATTTTTATAATGTTGAAGCATCAACATCTTATGAACATTCTTCAAATAATAAATTTAAACAATCTAAAAAAACTAAACGTAAAAATAAAACTATTCGAGATATGAAACAGAGGAGAAAAGCTGATCTTCAAAATATTAAAGATAGAAGACGTGCTGATATTGATAATCAAAAGTCTAAACCAAATAAATTAAAAGAGGCTTTTATTGAATTTATTGTAGTTTCTTCACTTTTTATTCAGCCTATTGCTTTGTATTATTTTAAAAGCTTGACTTATATTATTCTTTCATTAGTATTTACTTTATCTTGGGTTTATTACTATGAAAAAAGGCGATATGTTATTCTTCTGTTTATGGTTTTTATTACTGTTTATGGTAGTGAAAAGGCATGTAATGCTATAAAAGAATTGATTTCAAACCTTTTTAGAGAAGTAAAAATATTTTGAACCATTGGGTATTAGCAAAATATGTTTCCGTTTTTATTAAATACTCTATGATATTAGTGTAGTGATTTGGTAATTAAACTATAGTCTTTAAGAGAATATACAGGAAACAAATGAAAGAATATGATTTATGCTGATTTTCATTAGCTTGCAAAATGTATTAATAGAATCTTCATATTATAAATAAAAAACTACCCTTTTGCTATAAGGTTGCTTATTTGAATGATTTGATATTTAGTTGCTTATTTTATTATATAAGAGGTGCTTATTTTCAGAGGAATACGGTAATTTATCCGGCAGCTTATTATGATTCGTCTGCCCAATAAATTTATTATTCGGCAGAAATTACATAGTTGCCGAATAATAAAATTGTTATTGGGCAGACTATCGTCATAAGTTACCGGATAAATCCGTTATCAGTCATGCAGATGCCTTATAACTTAATTATTTGGTCAAATGATTTAAAGTCAGCCTAAGAAGTTGAATTCCTTCGGAATTCAATTTCTTAGTCTAATTTTAAATCTTTAACCAAATAAACCAGTTATCAGGCCAGTGCCTGCCTGATAACTATTAATTATCCCATATCTATTTATTAAAATTCTCAATACGTATTAAGTATTCGCATTATCTGTTATAAAATTTTACTTTCATAATTAAACTATGCACCAAAATTATCGCTATTTCTATCTCTAAAGAAAGGTATAATTAATCACTAGATCACACATATTTTCATATAAACTTTAAAAACTATTAAAGATGTCCCTTAATTGTAATGTTACACTTGTGATCCAGTAGGTCATACGTAATTAAGATTTGAAGTAGCGCCTATTTAAAATTCTTAGCATTTGATCTAATTTCAGAGACTTAGGTAATGAAGCAGTAGAATGGAACCGCCCTAGCGCCACCATCCTAAATTTCAGGATCAGGATTATCACTAGTGTTTCGGGCTAAATTAATTTCTAAAATCCGAAATATTTCGCCAATAAGAAATAATTTCGGTTCAAACTGTAAAATATATAGCAATTCTCATCAATTCAGATGCTATTCGGTGATTTGCACTATACAATTATCATTAAGAGCACTATAATATCACAAGCTCTTCCATATACAGATATATAGAGGTTATTATGGTCATTTCACAATTGACTGTCAGTGAAGCGACGATTACATACTAGTAAATATGATGATAATTGTTTACACGCAATTATACATTTTATTAATTTTCATAATGTGAAGTAGTTTTTAATTTCAATAATTTTTGATCCGACTTACAACAATTCTGATTTACAAGAAATCTTGCTTTCCTAGAAACGTATAGAACAAGTGATGATATTTTTAGCCTCGTTAATAGTCAGAAAATATTACTCATTGTCGCAAAAATGCACAAAAATATTGGGAAATAAACATCACTGCTAAATGAATATTTAAGATTTATAATAGTTACTATATTGTTAATGATCATATTTTTAAGATGTTTATTAATGTTTAAGCTATAGCGAAATAGATTATTCACAATCTTATAATATTTATTTTGTGAATTAATTTGCGTAAAACCTTTAGAATTTTTTAGTAATTTGAAATATTTCATATTCCTCAATTGAAAAATATGATAATCCACCTTTATCATATGTAGATGCACTTATAATTTGTTTTTCATAAGAAAGTTGGCAACATCCAGAACACTTAGAATTATCCGATATGTAAAGATCAAAACCACGGCCAAAACCTAGACTCAAGTTAGGATAGTTACATATTGCATATTCTTGCTCTTTTACACGACTTAAAATAGAGCGTTTAATATTACCATTTTTCAATGAAAAAATGAAGCTCTTATTGCAACTTCTATAATCATCGAATGATTTATCCCACCCAATAGGATTATATCCACCAAGAATTTCATCAGTCCCTTTAATCTTCATGATTAAAACTACATTTTCTTTCTTATCAAATAAATTCCAAATCGAATTAAAAGCAAGGCCATCTTTTTATTCACGAATAAGCAATTTAAATTCATACGGATTATTCGTTACAGAATAAGGATCAACTTTTTCATCAATCCACGAAACAATCTCAGCTGCATGTGCATCACTAATGACTGTTGAAAATGGTTCAGTAGTCCTAGTTGGTAATGTTTGTGTTAAAACTATACGAGGTGGAAGAATCTTTGAAGATATAGGCTGATTTGAGGCCATAAATTTTTTCATTATATCTTTCCGAAGGGTTTTTTTTCAAGAATTTGTTGATATGGTTGAACATTATTGATAATATCTTCATTAGACATTTGAAAATAACGGATAAGAGGTAAGCAATTTTTTAAAGTAGTCCTTAAAGCCAGAAAATTTTCAAAAGACCAATCCTCGGTGTCGGACGGTAGACCAGGATTTTGAGCTATTCCCCATTCGATAACGCGATTCCAAATTTTTACTTCTTCCATTTGTAATTCATCTCGACCAATAAGTGAGACTAGAGAGTTTTCTTGTATTGAAAGGAAGTCTTTAGAATCAAAAGTTTATCAGGATATTTTACCCAAAAATCATTGCACCATTTTTGTAATTCTTGAAGCTCATTATTTTGAAAACTTTTTTGATAAATACGATTAAAATGTAAACGAAGCCAATGAGCTTCTTTTTCAACTAAATGAGCTTCTTTTTCAACTAAATGAGTTTCAAGATATTTGGCCAATTTTTCAAAAAGAAGTTCACACGCAGTAATCATAAGCTCAAAAATAAATGATGCATCACATTTTTCAAGTAAGACTACACCTCCGTATATATACCTTTATATAAAAAATTTAAGTATGTTTTAGAATGTTTCTTGTAATACAATATATACTGTATTATATAAAATAACTTACTTGATAATAATTTCAAATTGTTGAATAGAAACATTGTTTAAATTAATAGTTTTCATATTATTCTTATCTTTATTGATATTTTCTAATTCATTACGAAGATATGAGGACCTATATCTTAAAATTATTGAATGTGCTCGGAAAGTTTTTAAGTTGGAAGATTTGCCAACATTAATTACTGTATCAAAATCTTCTTTATCATCAAGAATCTCAAGATAATTATCTGAAAGCTCTTCAAAGAATTTTATATTCATTTGATATAGGTGTTATGTAAAATTTATGACTTTCAAAAGAAAAAAACCCTACAACACTGCGTAACTGTAATACAATTAACTATATAGATACATTTAGTGTACCAGCAATATACTGTATTAGTATTAGTATCTGATATGAATGACCGTTTAGATTAATATAGCTGCGCAGCATGTGATGTCGCGCAGGACAATTAACGATTACTAATTCCCCACCACTTCCCATTGGACGAATACAAATATCATTTTCCATTGGACGAAACCAATTACATCATTGATCAGGGTGGCTAAAAATTTTATGTAAACATCTAATTAAAGAATAAATTACCTCTTTTCACAATGATTACATTTATTAAAAATTTTTTTTCCTTTTTTTTTTTTTTACGTTTGCTCTTTTGGGTTTGGCACTTTCAAGTTTTAAATAATAATTTCGTATGTAAATTTTCGCCGAAAAATTTTTACCTACTTTTTTAAATCATACTGCTATACAAAATCTGAAAACAAAATTTAGTTTTTGTAAGTGTATGAAAAATTTACTAATTATTTAATTAATATCTTAGCAGTGAGTAATTTTAGCCATTGCCAATTGAAACGATCCATTATGTTGCTCGATTGTTGCTAGGTGGAGTTATTTTGTTTGCAATTTGGCTAAATTTTTCAAAGAAAAAATACATAACCACGAATTATTTCATTATTTTGTTGAGTTGTTTTCCATTTTGCCGTAGTATTCTGTTGAGTTTTTTTGACAGTTAGTAGAAAGTTTCTCCGTTGCTTCTTCATTTTGGGAAATACCAGCATCATTTGGTAATTCTGAATCATCGTTTTCATATTTCATATAAGATGTTTCAATAACATTTATTTTAAGCATTACGGATTAGCAAACTAGCACCTACTGAAATATTATCTGTAGTGATTGGCGTCGTAATCATGTGATGCTAATTGTCACATGATACAATATATAAAAATCATTGTTGATTTTAATATATTTTACCACGTGACAATTAGCATCACATGATTACGACGCCAATCACTAGGTTACTGTATGATTTCCGAAAGCTATTTTCCCGAAAGAACATAATACTGATTAATTATTTTTTCTTTGGGATAATGGCTTTTGAAAACTTGAGTACATTATTATATTAGTATTTAAAAAAAAATCTATTAATTAGCAATTTGCAGTAGCATTTTATTTATTTGCTGTATTTAACGGTATCAATAAAATGAATTTTAATGATCGTGTTAATTATTTTCTAAAAAAAAGTAAAATTGCGACATAATATAATTAAGGAACTTTTGGTATTTTTAAAATTACAAGTAGGTCTCAGCAAAATTTATTCTCTTGAGAACAAAAAACTTTATAAAATTTTCTTAGTCGTGTCAGAAGCACTTATTTTCATTAATGTTTAGATTATTTCTTTTTTTTTACTACATTAGCTTGAAAGTGCATAAACTTTCGCTTAATAATTATTTGATTTTTTTTTTTTTGAAGAAAAACGATGGTTATGATTTTACGACTGCGCTAAGGTGGCATGATAGTTTACCCAATTGAAGACGGTATTTCATGCGCCCGCTCAATTACTGTAACAATAATTTATAATGATTCAACAGCGCTTTAATAACTGTTGATAAAAGTAGAAATTATAATACAGTAAAATAATAAGCATCTGAGTCGAATAATTTATCAAATATCAAATACACCAATTATATACTTACTGAAACTTTACTTTAAATAAAAAATGAAATGCAATACACAATCGAATAAGAACATTTTCAATTATCTCCCTGAATACGATTCCCTAGTACTCAAAATAGTGCACAATTATTACGACATAATAGGAAAAAAGCCAATAGCATCGCACTTACCGTATATTTTTGATGTATGATAGATTAAATAAAAACTT